AGAATTGTGTCTTTTAAGGTGTTTACAAGCTGAAAATTGAACTCGTTTTCAAGAACAAGGTCAATAACTTTTCTGATTTTCAATGGGGTCCAGGATATTTCGTATCTCACCTTAACTGCCATTCCATTCAGATCTGTACCGGTACTAGCTGCTGTGGCACTAGTATTCGGGACTGTGTTCGTTCCTGTTTCTATAATATGGATCTTGTTAGTTGGTATTCCAAGTGTACCACTTGCTACCTGAAATAAAATGTATCATCTTTAGAACTAAAAATAACAATAAAAAAAAGACTTCAATTAAAAGCTGGTTACAGTCGACCATGTACCTGATTCAGTAAACGCACTGCAAGCTCTCAGACACAATACTAACTTATCTTTGATGAGGATTGTTGGTGATAGATATTTGCAGTTTTGGTCATTAAATTTATAAAATTTGTTAACCTGTAATAGCGTTCAATTGTCGCATTGTCCCAGAACTATGGGCAACATTATTTCTTATAATATATCAGTTGCTTCCCTTGAACTATTCATCAGTCAAGACACTATTTGACTGTGTATGTTACACAGCTGTTGTTTGGATTTCGGGTTTCGTATCCTTAGTATTTGGTTTATTTATGGTATGATTTAAGCGACCTGGTTTATGCTGCACTGGCTGGTGTTAATTGTGGCCTAAGCATTAGTTTTAAGTTAATTCTAAATTTACCTGAATCATTTTCACGTTGATACCTTGTCCCATTTCAACTCCACCGTGAGCCAGCAAGACTGAACCATCAGTATATATACTGACGAATGCCCCACCCTAGAAATTCACATAAAGATAATCCAGTTTGAAAATAATTAACAAAGACGTCCCGAAAATACTTTTACCATTAAAGACAAAATGTACACTTATACTGTGAAGTCATGCTTTCATCCAAAGTAAAAACTCGAAAGATTCTTTGTTGATGAAAACTATGGGAAATTCGTTTGAATTTACGTTCGTATATATTTATTTTCTATTTGCATTAATGTTACGTCCTCTTACATTTCAAGATGCAATCATACTTAGAAACTAACCTGGTTCATGCTCATTCTCCCGAAACCAATTCCAAATTGCATTGGCATTATAAATATACCCCTCTTCCGCCAACGATTTTCTCTGAAAATTCCCAAAATTAACGTTAAGAATACATACACAAAAAATTGTTACAAGATTAAATTAACAAATGAACAGAGAAAAACTGGACTGATCCATAATCACCACAAATGAATTAAAATAAACTGCTGCTGGACTTGTCCAGGACCACCACAAAATGAATAAAAATAAACTGATGCAGGACTGACCCAGGACAACCTCAAAATGAAAAAAAAATAAACTGATGCTCGACTGGTCCAGGACCACCACAAAATGAACAAGGGAGAAAAACCATGCAGGTACTGGTCCAGGACCACCGAAAAATGAACAAGAAAAAACTGATGTAGGATTGATCCAGGACCAAATATCGGCTATTTTATTCACCATTACCTATTAAATCTTTTGACTTCTTGTTCTCTTTCTTTGTAGTTACTCTGTTTCAAACAGTCATCCCAACAATCTTGAACATGACAACCCTTGATAATTTGATTAATATGTGCTCTATCCCCTTCTTTAAAGAAATTTAGTTGTCGAATCTACAAAAATGGGAAATATAAATGCACTGTGCACCGCATCTATCCAGATTGTTAATGATGTAGATTTAAATTTTAAAAAAATATTGATCTTCGATAGACTAGGTTAATTTTTCAAATTTGTCTGTATGTTGTACCATCGATTTTTCCTTTTTTTATGAACAAGATTTGAGGACAACTCCTGCTCTTATATTTTATTCTTACCTTTAATGGATCCCAATCCTGGGATTCAACTATATGTTGCATCACTGTTTCAGTGGTAAATACTCCTTGTGGAAGACCAAACCCTCTGAAAGCTGTGTTAGATCTGATATTTGTTTTACATAGATGACCAGTTGTTCGGAAGTTTGGAATATTGTAACAGTTATTGCCCTTGTTTAGTACAACCATCATCACCTGTATAGAAGAAACTTACAAGATAATCCGACATTATAAATTTGTTCCCATGTTAGGTCTTTAGAATAGGTATAGTCAAATTGTTGATAAGTTTACTACGTAAAAATTACATATTTTCTTGGATGACAATGTCCACTTGCAGCAGTATGTATTCTTGTGGAGTGCCAATTCAATAAATCCTATATAAAAGTAGCTTGCACAGCTAAACTCACGTGTTCCGAAAGATCTAGAGAATCACCACAATTGAAATATGTGTTGATATCCAAGCAATGTAGTCTGCCATCTTCTGAAAATCCGACCTGAAATATATATATAAAAAAGTATGGAAATGTCCTGTTGTAATCTACAGTTTTCTAGTAAAAATATCTAGATGCTGTCATTATAATAATGAAAGAGAATACGAATTATTTCAACACTGTATCATCACCATCAAAATTAACAACAGCATCATCATTTTTTAAATGCATCATTATTATTGCGCAGTATTTTCATACCTTATATTTAGCCAAAATAGGATGTCTGGTTCCAGTTGTGACCATATCATCTTCTCTATCTAATACACAACGCACTGGACAATTGAACCTGGTATCACAAAAAAAAACATGCATCCAGTAAAAGGTTTTCAGCTGAGAGGAAAGCTCTGACATTTTTCGTGGGATTATGGCAAATTGGGTTTTGGACGAATCACGGAAATTCCTTGAGCGATCGACATGTTTCCGAGGCAGAATTACGCTCAAGTACCCTCAGATACCACACAGCTATTAGCCCCCACATAACCATATACTAGCAGAAGCTTCCAAACGTGTATCTTGAACCGAAGATGTAATTCAGTCTCCTCATTAGTAGGCCAGATTGTGGACAATTTTGGCTGCAAAAAAAAAAATATTTTGAATGGATCAAATAGCAGAAGAATAGACAGAATGGAATGAAAATTTAAAAAAACCTATATTGAGAAAAGTATTACATACTTAATACCAGCTGTAGCAGCCATTCCAACAGCATTTACGCATTGCGTCTCTTTTCCACCAAAGCCACCGCCTAGAATTCGACAACGAACTTTGTTATACCCAATTTGAACGAAATTTGACTGTGTTAAGGACTAGTGACTAACACCACAACTCTGTCTGTTTCACAATTCATGGTCAGTATAACAAGAAACATGTAAAAAGTTCTAAATTTCTTAATACAACTTTTGAATGTTTGAGACAGGATCAGATGTTAGGTTTTGTACTCCATTGATAATCAGTAGTGCTTAACTAGTGTCCATAAATGAATTTGATGATCACAAATACATTGTACATCATTATGCATGGTTCGCAGAATAATGACTGTTTACCTATTCTTTTGAGCAGGCATCTCACTTTGTGGGAAGGAACACCAATAATATCGGCAATCGACGCCTGGAAAAGAACGAAACATCATAGTCAACAAATTTGTCAGATGTCAGATCTTCAGAAGCGTGGTTTTAATAGGATAAGGAAACACACAGATGTCTTGGTACACAGCTGTTATGTATTTTGTTGCGAACAAAAAATACAATTGACAGTGAAATTGTCCGCTCAAATTAGTTTTTAGTCCTATCCGAACCCGGTAACATAAGGCTCTATTCAACTGGAATAAGATTAAATACCTGTATAGCGGTAGGACATTGTGTGGAGGAATACACATCCATTTCATCATTTTCTTTCGGTATGGCTATAGCAGACTGCGTTTCAAAATAAAACTGTTCCTGTGCACCCATATATACTTCACCTTCCAGGATGTTTTTGCAGTTTTTGAATTCGTTCTCGATATCACCACATTGGACAGTTGTGGGTTTCCTCAAAAATGAATTATTATCAATAGCATCCTGTAATGAACAATCTCATTCAGGTTAACAGGTTTCAGGAATAAAATAATGGTGCTACGTTGCTACTGATATTGATTGTGATGATAATAATATTACTTGATTTCATATAACTCATCTTGATTTGACTGTACCTTGATTTGAAAGGGACATGATGATGATGATGCGAATGACGACATAATTTGATTTAACTATATTTCAATAGTGAGATTGATGTTGGCGATAGCGGAACTGTTTACGCAAATCAAATTGAATGTAAAGGTTTCGGACTCTTTAGAACAACCTTTAAAGCTGCAAACATCATTAATGATGAAGAATGGGAGTTAATCTTTTAACTAGCGTCGGGGTCTTACCTGAATAGAAATAATAGCTGGATGTTCCTCATATTCTATCTTTACCAGTCTCCTGGCTTTTATAGCAATTTCGTGAGAATCTGCAACTATACATCCTATTACAGCTCCTTCTGTCTCGACCTTCAATATACAGAGCCAGTAAAATCAAAATCATCAAAACTTAATTTCGTATGAATTCAAATAAGAAGTATCCAATTTGAGATAGCTTTTAAGATTCTTGTACACATAATACTTTGAATCTGTTTAATCACAATCTTCCGCTTAAAAACAGTAATTGATAAAGCTTTCAGGATGTTAATCGGTATAACAAATTCTCTTACCTTTTTCTCGGCAAAGAGCTTCTCATCTGATAACCATAAATGGTTGGACCCTTTAACGTCTGTATAATCAATGTACCCTTTAACACCAGGGACAGCTAAAGCGTCCTCCACATGCATCTTGGTAATATTAGCATGTGCTTTTGCACTGTAGATTGGTACTATTGATAATTCTCCTGTAACGGTAATTCACCCAAAGTATGACTGAGGTGTCAAGCAGATTGGGTTTGAATAGAGTTGTAAAAGGGTAGACCATGAATGTTAGCGAGGCAGGACATTACCAACTCTTACCAACTTGACGACTCTTTCCTCTTGTCCACACCCCTAAATTTATTATTTAGCGAGTTACAATGTCCGGCTCCAGGCTTCTCTTGTTCCTATGACAATTTGGCGAAAATGACGTCCGAAAGTCCGAATTACTGAAGAGATAACTTTATTTAGACAAATCAAGGACTTAAAATGCAATATTAAACATTCATTATAGATGTACCTTTAAGAGTTCGCATATCATCCATGTAAACCGCTTCTCCGGTTGCTTGTTGGTAAGCTGTGGAATGAACCAGTGGCTTCCACAAACCATGTTCTGATTTGTTCTCTGGATCAATCAAATCGTAGATTTGAGTTCCACGACTCACTTCGTGTTCAGGATTAACTGTAGCACTTATGTCTGCCTTTGATACGCCATTTCTTATGATGCCCTGAAAATACGATGTATTCTTACATTTGGGGACCTGCTAAGATGACGATATCAACGTCTTGCTGAACTTGGGTGCACATGGTCGTGCTTTTGGTCGAAGTGTTATATTTCCTTCGAGGAGGTAATCTTATTTTAATCCAATGAGACTGCGACTGGATAAGCATATTAAGCAAATGTGCTTATTTTGTCATATCTCCTTGACGTGTTACGGTTTGTTCAACAGTTCACAGCAGTGTATTTTAGGCGTCGCTGGATAAAAATGACATCTAGACTACAAGCAGATGCTCACCTTTACAGCTAACTGCTGTGCTACACTTAGATAGAATTTAAAGAAGAAACTTGTAGTAAGAGTTCGTCTAAATTCCACTGTACCACCAGGTGCATCATGAGACAATGGTAAATCTTTCTCTAAATATTCACAGGCTATTTTTACAACTTCTTCATTCCATTTTCTATTTAATAGAATAGACAGTGGCAAATCTTCACTCAATTTCATATTAATAAGAATAGAAAATCTTCATTCCATTTGGTATCAAATAGAATAGACAATGGTAACTCTTCACTCATTTTTTTTTTATTAAATCGAATAGAAAGCGGCGAATCTTCATAACATTTCGTATTAAAAAGAATAGACCGTGGTAAATCTTCATTACATTTCGTACTAAAGTAAATTTCCATTCCATCTCCTTTGAAGTGTATTAATAATGAAAATATAATTCGATGAAAAATAACGATCTACCCACCTTCCTTTCAGCTGCATCATTGTCTGTTTAGCCATGACAGTAGTAGGTGCCATACCACCGTATGATAAATATAGATCTTCTATAATATCACTTTGATCTTTAAATACAACTCTCATGCCAGAATTAACTATAGCTATATCATCATCTTTTCTAATGGATTGTTTATAACTCTGGATATACTCATTCTAGACATTAAAAATAAGACAATCAATGTCGAGGTGATAGTGGTTGATGGATTCCTATGATGGTGATTGTATGACTTTGATGAATTCCGAGGATGCTGCCGATCAAGATGGAGAGAAGCAGGGCAACTAAACCGACGACGTTGATTATTTATTGATGAATACATGATGATTTATTGATGCTGAATCCATGATGATTTATTGATCATGCTGAATTCATGGTGAATGATTGATGCTTAATCCATAACAATTGATTGATGATGAATCCATGATGACTTGTGACACTGAATCCATAATGATATATTCGTGAATCAATGACGATTTAATAATTACCTTCGTGGAGAAAGGAATTGTTAAAGCAAGTAATAGTTCACTTGTTTGAACCTGCGTTTTCCTGTAGCCGGTAAAGAAATTTTCATCCATTGGAACATTTCGTTGTTTGCCTCCTAAAATAAAGTAGCCCATGTAACTACATCCAGGCAAATGAGACAAATGCCGAATAAGTGAAAATGACTAATTACATACATATGATATGCGTTATGTCTACTGTAAAGGTGTCTATCGTTTGAAGTCTACCAATAGCGTTCAGATGAAAGACGTAACACCAACAATTTGTTTTGAGTACAAAAGCAGTTCGATTGCATTTAGTAGACTATAACCCAGGGGACGAAATATTCTTTGCTTGTTTACCTTTACATTGAACATGTAATACAACACCACAAGCTTGAAATATAGGATTAAGATCTGATATTGGACTGGCTGTCATTATGTTACCACCGATAGCCTGGAAAAATAAACATATTATGTTGTTTATGTAAATACATATGACATGTTATTGTTTATACACTTCCTTGGCAATAGGTTGCTATAGACCAATGAGAAAATGTCACACAATTTGTACTAAAATAAACCCTAGATTTTGAACATTAACCTGCTTGGTCGGTAAAGCTCAATTTACAACTGATGTAAAAGATCAACCTGTATCAGTATAAGCATACCTAGTTACTTGTTTTGATTTACTACGCGGTGTCCAGTATTTATGAAAAACACCTGATAATAACTGCTCGGTGAAATGAAACGGAACTATACTCTTTAGTACCTAGTGAACGGCCTGACATTAAAACACATGCAGTTTACAAGACAGTTATGATAGATGTTTAAAATCATGGTCATGCAAGTATTCCTTTCGCTCAATCTCATTATGGTGCAACTGCCAGATGTGCCTGACATTAAAACAGATGCACTGATAGAGTGCAAGCATTTCAAGCCTCAAGCAGTACCGTGCTGGATCTTTGCATCAGATGTTTGCTACAACTACTATAAGAAGGTTGTTGTTTTTTTGACCTTTTTTTTATCAAAAAACAAGCCATTCTAGATACTCTTAGTCATTTTTTGTGTTAACTTTTAGCAATTGTTTTGTTGTAGAAGGTTGACCTTGTAGTTGAGTTTTTTATCATTGTTTATTACCACTACTTTGCAGTTTAGATTGTATATGATTTTTTTAAGGTGCTATACATTCCGTTTTTGTGCTGAATCTCCTCAATGCATTTCATTTTCTCTCAGTCCCAACCATGTTGTGGCAAAGGGCATTGTTTTCCGAGGAAAACGAAATTTGTAACATACCGCAGCATTCCTGATCTGTTTTCCAGCAAACCATTTCAAAATATCTATGATGGCTACAAATCCTCTTATTTTCTCCTCTGGAATGTCCAATTATAAAATTTGCATTTTAAAGAAGGGAAGTGGCAATACTTGAAAGAAACCTGAAGCAAAGGCTGTGCACCACCCCATGGCGGACAAAGACTGGTCCGAGGGGTGAACAATATTCTGTAGGAGTATGTATTTTCAAATGATGAAATGCATCCTCATCTATCTATGATGAAATCAAATCTATGCTGATAGTCGTCGATTTGAATTTAACCGAATTGAGAACCGTGGATTTATAGATCCCCAATAGGCCCTACGTATTAGTAAGAAACATAAGGTACTTTAATCGACAATTATAAATTTGGATAACAATCAGTGGGTGTTCCACATGTTTTTTTAATAGGGTTTTGAATAGAACTTGACCCCTTTTATATGAATGAGACATGGCATATATAAAATATCCTTGATGCGTGACTTTGCATCGATGTACATGAATGTTTTCTTTAATTTTCATTTTTCATTTGACGATCGAAAGGGATGGTCCCCATTTCACACAAAAAAATCGTAGGTTACGAATGGTATGACTCGCCAAATTTGAGCGTAAATATAGAACGGGGAGTTTAAGATGTTAGCATCCTGCATCTACGGTTAAAATCAATGTATTATTATCACAAATGCATTATTTGCACTGTGAATTCACAAAAAGGTGTTTGCAAATGTGCACCATTGCATTGTATTTTTAAGGAAATTGTAATTTACTTCACATATGGATTCACAAATTTTGTCTGTAGTTCTCACCTTTTTTATTGTCAACTGCAGCCTGGAGTACTTCCTCTATCTTGGACAGAGTTACGGAGGCACCAAATTTGATACCAGTCTCTGTAATTTGTATCTCTGTTAATTTGGGAATATCGGCTGCGTTGATCAAGACTGGATATTTCATATTCTTAAATGTTGTTTCAATGCCTATAATATCAAAATGATTAAATATTTTCATCCACAAATACCGTTGAATTTGACTCCTTGAAACGATTTTGGAAATTGATGTTAAATATCTATAAATATCTTACCCACTTCAGTATTTCCAACTATTATTTTAGCTTGTAGAAATTGATGTTAAATATCTATAAATAACTTACCGACTTCAGTATTTTCAACTATTATTTTAGCTTGTGGAAATTGATGTTAAATATCTATAAATATCTTACCGACTTCAGTATTTCCAACTATTATTTTAGCTTGTGAAAATTGATGTTAAATAGCTATAAATATCTTACCGACTTCAGTATTTCCAACTATTATTTTAGCTTGTGAAAATTGATGTTAAATAGCTATAAATATCTTATCGACTTCAGTATTTCCAACTATTATTTTAGCTTGTGAAAATTGATGTTAAATAGCTATAAATATCTTACCGACTTCAGTATTTCCAACTATTATTTTAGCTTGTGAAAATTGATGTTAAATAGCTATAAATATCTTACCGACTTCAGTATTTCCAACTATTATTTTAGCTTGTGGATATTGATGTTAAATATCTATAAAATATCTTACCGACTTCAGTATATCCAACTATTATTTTAGCTTTTGGAAATTTATATTAAATATCTATAAAAATCTTACCCACTCAAGTATTTCCAACTATTAATTCAGCTTGTGGAAATTGATGTTAAATATCTATAAATATCTTACCAACTTCAGTATTTCCAACTATTATTTTAGCTTGTGAAAATTGATGTTAAATAGCTATAAATATCTTACCAACTTCAGTATTTCCAACTATTATTTTAGCTTGTGGAAATTGATGTTAAATATCTATAAATATCTTACCGACTTCAGTATTTCCAACTATTATTTTAGCTTGTGAAAATTGATGTTACATAGCTATAAATATCTTATCGACTTCAGTATTTCCAACTATTATTTTAGCTTGTGAAAATTGATGTTAAATAGCTATAAATATCTTACCAACTTCAGTATTTCCAACTATTATTTTAGCTTGTGGATATTGATGTTAAATATCTATAAATATCTTACTGACTTCAGTATTTCCAACTATTATTTTAGCTTGTGAAAATTGATGTTAAATAGCTATAAATATCTTATCGACTTCAGTATTTCCAACTATTATTTTAGCTTGTGGATATTGATGTTAAATATCTATAAATATCTTACTGACTTCAATATTTCCAACTATTATTTTAGCTTGTGAAAATTGATGTTAAATAGCTATAAATATCTTATCGACTTCAGTATTTCCAACTATTATTTTAGCTTGTGGATATTGATGTTAAATATCTATAAATATCTTACCGACTTCAGTATTTCCAACTGTTATTTTAGCTTGTGAAAATTGATGTTAAATAGCTATAAATATCTTATCGACTTCAGTATTTCCAACTATTATTTTAGCTTGTGGATATTGATGTTAAATAGCTATAAATATCTTACCGACTTCAGTATTTCCAACTTTTATTTTAGCTTGTGGATATTGATGTTAAATATCTATAAAATATCTTACCGACTTCAGTATATCCAACTATTATTTTAGCTTTTGGAAATTTATATTAAATATCGATAAAAATCTTACCCACTCAAGTATTTCCAACTATCATTTCAGCTTGTGGAAATTTATATTAAATATCTATAAAAATCTTACCAACTTCAGTATTTCCAACTATTATTTTAGCTTGTGGAAACTGATATTTCAGATCTAAAATTTGGGATAAAGTGACTGGTCTGTACCATTTTATACCATCTTTTTCATACACCAAATATTCTTCGTGGTATTTCTTGTGATTTACCTAGGAACATGAATGCATTCAAATATGAATGCTTAGGATCAATGTGTTTTAGGCGTTAAACTTTATTTAACGAAACGCGTTATTGATCAATTATTAAAACTATTAAAAAATGTGTTGCTTAAACACACGATAGAACTATCGTCGATACGTCGCAAATTATAAGATTCAGAACTGTATCCGATTGTGTACCCAATCAATGCGAGATGGAACATATACCACTATGAAACATATCATTTCCTAAATACATAGTATGGTGTGGTATACCGAGTGTCTAAAATCAGTTTCTCAGCTGCGTATTTCTTCTATAACATGACAGTTTATGAACAATTTTGTCAAGGAGGGAACCTTTGATTGAAACTTGGTTGCTTTGTGCATTAAGATGCTAATGCCAATAGATGATTACCTTGAGATCTGGAGGGAAAATGGGTTCCTGACTTGGATCATATATTGGTGTATAACTACCCTCTGCCTGGAATACAATTTACAAACATTGGATCGGATACATTATGTCAATCAGTAGGTAGTAGGACACTCTTGTCAAGATGTATTAGAGAGTCAGTTTGAGATACTATTCAACCAGGCCGAATGCTGTAAACCACACTGATCCGGGGAATCGAAGTATCAATTATACATGGTAGTATTATAGAGGTTCATTTTGAGAATAATTGTGTCTTCCTTAATTACCATCCAAACTCACACAAAATGTGTCAATGTAGTTGAAAACTATTTGAGTGTCATCGGTGCATCATGCTGTTAAAATCGGCTACTTTCTGGTGTAAAACTGGATGTCTGATTTGGTAATATTGGGACTAAGCAACTTACCACTCCGTTTTCGGTGGGTTTCTTTTGATTTTTACAACAATTTTCTCCCATTCCACATTCGTTCTGTAAGGTTATTAATTATAATTATCAGGCGTTTCTACAAAATGTCCGCGGGAGAGGCCTCAGAACCAACGGATTTCAGATGCAATGATGTGAAATTTGAGCATTAAGAGGGCTTAATTTTAAATAAGACCTTTTCGCAGACCTGAAAAGGTGGGGGGTGGGTGGCCAACTCCTTCAAGACGCCACTAATTAATATAGATGTAACAATGGTTTTTTAGAAATATGTTACTTATGAGAATAAGTCTCGATAACAAGTCTGTCAGAAGCATTGTACCTTAGAGAATGCCCTGTAACCATCCAATATAGGTCTGTATCCTGTGCATCGACATAAATTACCTAGAACAGAAGAACATAATGTATTTTTTATATCACACAATCAGCCATTTCCAATAAAACTGTAAAAGAATAATGGACGTCTGGGAGGTGCACAATATTTTGTTTAAATTTCAATAGTTTTCAATCTGCAGTTGGCGCTTATATTATTTGAGAATTTATTTGGTGTCGGCATATTTGAGAATTTATCTGGTGTCGGCATTCAGATAAGGGAGGGCTACATTGATATGTGATACCTCGCTCCACTCTTCACAGCCATTCTTAATGATAGTTGTGTATTATATAACCAGGGTAAACTTTACCTTCCAGATTCTTCTCTATTTCTTTCATAGTTGGTTGTGGGTTGTTTCTTAATAAAGCATACATGGACATCACCATACCCGGTGTACAGAAACCACATTGTGATCCATGAGATTTGGCTATTTGTTCCTAAAATGGGCAACCGTTGCACTGTTTAAGTGCTCGTATGACTTTATCGAAAACTTTAATTTCACAGTCATATTATGTCCAATTTGTTAATGGAGATGGGTTTCAAAGAGGTTTTTTTGATGATCGCAAAATATATTTGTAGCATATAAGGGCTTCACAATTAGTGATGTCAACAAACAGTTAGTTTAAGTGGAATTACATGAACCACAAATCCCTTTAAGATTGGGTCGCAGCTTTTAGAAACCATGTCTGAATTGAACATTAGGCTAAAGATGCAGAATGGTCCAACGTACTCAAATTGTGTGTCGGGTTTAGGTCTTTTTTTAAGTATATGCGGGCTTATTCGGAATATATAATATACATTACAATGCGTGTTTACATTCTTTTGATTAAATTTTCATTTCGAAAGTCCAAAAGTGGAAATTTGTGTTTTTTACGGTAAAAAGGAAAAGTTTGAACTCCTAAACCGAACGTATATACGCGTTAACAAATACTAGACCCTACCTGAACTGGATGTAGTCTTGTTTTTAAACTTCCTATACCTTCTGTAGTAGTAACAGCTAATCCATGGACTGAACAAACAGGCATCAAACAAGCATTGACAGAATAATGACTAGTAGAAGTTATGCAAGGAGTATACGCATTATTCGTTCACAAGAGAATAATTCAAACATGCTTTCCAAGCAGAACTTAGAAACATTTTTAGAAAACGAGTAACAGTTGTTTTCTGCTTCAGAAAGGTTATTGCAAGGTGAAGCAATACATTAGCCTTTGGAAACCTTTCTGTTTCTTAATATCATTGTAACATAATTTGCAATTTTGCTTTGATGTTTTAAAGAAATAGTTTAAGATATGTAATGGTCTATTATCAGCAATTTGTTGTTGTAGCATACCGGGATAACTTAACATGAAAGCCAAATAGAACCTAAGAGAATGAAGATGGTGCTTAGGTATGGTATAACAAGTTTATTTCAACTTTCATTGGATAAAACGGTCTCGTGATAAATGCCGTAAAAAGTCCAAGCTGTTTACCTGTGGGAGATTTTAAAAGGATACTGTATGTTCTGGTCAGTAGGATTATATTTTGAGATCATCACAGTACAAGCTCCACAACCACCTTCTCCACATACCAGCTTTGTTCCTGTTAGTTGTACTGATGGACAAAGGTTAAGGATTTCGATGAGTAGTTCAGAGTCCAATTTCAAAAGACTCTCTTTGGGGATGGAAACGGGATGGCCTGCGAGCCTCATAAAAATAATAATGATACATTTTTATTATCCCAATAAGAGCAATTCATTGTACAAGATAGATCACGGATACAAATACAAACAGGATACACATACAAATACAGATTTGTATATATACACATTGTACATTATACATGCAAGTTGGTACTACATTATAAGTTACGCTAGCAATAATAGTAGTTGTAATAAGAACGGTTGGTCACACCCCTGACACCCCACGACGTTTAAAATATCAAACTGAATTAAAATAACCTGACCAAATATTGGTGGTTTATTCTCATCGCGGTTATTCACTGACTTTAAAAAGGATACATTCATTTCTAAGATATTTGAGCAAAGTGCATGATGGATCTGGATTCCTATCAACCACCTACAAATAGAGAGTAATGTATATTTCCAATGTTTTAATTGATTTAAATCCATTAAAACATTGGAAATATACATTACAAATCTTGATTCTGGGGCCTAATTCTAACTAATATCCTAATCCTAACTAATATAAAATCCTAATTTTCAGAAATAGAGTAATATGATTGGGTAGTTAAACTTAATTTAACCTTGATTGTGTTGATCGACCAATCAGATGACTAGAATACTAAAATCATCTAAACGATCATTTTTAGACGAGATTTTTGACTGACGTAATTGTCTTGCTTGTGTGGATTTTATTACATAGTTTTTTTAAGTGGACCTGCTTACCTTGGCGCCATTGACATAAAATATCAAACTTTTATAGTCTTCATCCATAGTTGACTGAAAATTAAACATGCAGAATATTATCAAAAAATTCCAGATATTCGAAATCTTATTCATCTTTCAAACTATCAATATTATGCCGTAACCTTTTGAATTAATTGTCACTTGGAATATAAATATTTTCACACATAAACACAGTTGAAGAATATGCTCGAATAAACAATATAAGATCAATAATGTGAAGACAACGGTTTGCCAAAATGTTATTTTAGATTTCGGGTTTCGTTTTGCGGTTCGAATCGTTAGTACTTGGTTTATGTCTCATACATTCATAACTAGGTTATTTTGATTTCACATCGATTCATGTTAAATTTGCATTAATTTTCATCACATCTTCATCCACAATCAACGATATATGTAAAAAGTCCAGTATTGTCGGATAGTGAATATTATATTATTTAAAATTTACAAGTACTTTCATGTTCATTTAATCTTCCTATATACAAGTATTACTATATATCTGAAGAAAATCTCGATATTACTCATGAAAAATACGAATAATTTGATATAGATTAATCGTTTTTTCTTTTTATTCCCCTAAAGATCTTTGATCGATTGCAATACACCCCTCTAACCTTTAGTATTTCGCAATGTTCTGTCCCCCCCCTTTGTTGAAAACAAATAATACAAATATTTACCATTCAAATCACATAAAATGCTTTTGAATTATACCACCTGTTCAAATATATCGCCTGTCCCTCAGTTGATTTAGTATAAATAATCAGTTTAAAATAATATATGTTTTCATTTGACTTACTTTTCAAACATTATAATATCTAGCATGCTTTAACATACAAAATAATAACCTCATTATATAACTTATCATTGCTCCTCACGCTTCAATATTTTAAAGGAGCACTCAGTTTTTATTGTAGGTCGTTTATCTGAAAATGTAATCTGAAAAATCATGCCGTAAATTTTTAAACGCTAAAACGATTTAAAAGGATTACTAAAATTTTACGTAGTTCGTTATGCTATTTTGTAGGTGTTTGAAAATTACTTTCCAGATTTAAGCAAAACAAACGTCAAACTCCGAGAAATATGTACATGTATTCTACGTAATCCAAGTATTTCAACAAAATAATATTGAGTCTTTATCAGGTCCAACTCCAAAACTGCTTACTAAACTATTAATTTTAATTGGCCCTTTGAAAACTCATTCAGTTTGATCAATTAGACACACAAATGTATATAGCATATTTTTTATTTTTTTCGAGGTTTTTGATGATGAAAATAATGCCCCTTTAATTTCAAATCAGACAGCCAGTATTTATGGCATGAGGAAGGTGGAGCTTAGATATGCTACAACTAGTCCATTTTGATATTTTTCACGTCTGAAGCTCCGCCCCTTGTACACTTTTTGCAATACCGAAAGTGACGTGATTTATTTTCCTATTTGTATGATTTTGTAGTCTATCGCAACCTAACACATGCTGGTAACAGAATTTTGAATTCCGAATTAAGTTAATATAACCAAACAGTTTTGAATTTTTACGTTGGCGGCTTAAATTATTTGTCTGATGTCAAGACTATTGATATGGTAAATATGCTGGCACTGCCACTGCTTATCCTTAATATCTTAATATAATGAATACTGGCAATGCTATACGATATGGAATGACAAATTTTGCAAAGACAGCATACTTTTTTTTCCATTTCCATCGGTCCAAGGATAAATAACGTGTACAGGGCAGTAATTTGTTGTATCATTACTGACATGGGAAACGGGGTATATTTGATACCATCTGGCCTATTAAGGTATCAAGACCCGGAACCCAAATTAATTTACTGAGACATCCCGTCCTCTGGTTATATAGTAATGGGTTGAACTTCCATAACGATAAGCCTTTCTTTATATACCAAAAAGAAATCATACTCTATTCTATTTATTAAGAATTCACACACTTTATTATTCCAAATGATTTTTGTCGCCGGTCAGAGTCTTGTCATGAGTTTCGCCGACCGCCTACGGAAACTGTTTTCCATTATGTCGATAATCGCGTGCGGATCATGCAATTGAAAGGGGAATGAATCTGACGATATTGACACTCTGTATTGCGGTACGATAAAAACAAACCGCCACAAATATAAAACTGGTTTGATATTATAAATCCTGTCGGTATTGCGAGCGATTTTACTCAAGAGTCGAGTCGGCGACCAAGACTGTTCTTGTGCCATTAGCGTTGAGAAGTTATTCCATTTTCTAAATACCTTATTTTATCATGAATCTTAAAACCAAATATATCACCAGTTTTAATTAATCAGTAATACGTAAAAAATACAAATCTTACCAATGAAATAAAGATCCCCTGTAATATTACCTTACAATAAGTTCAAATTTAACAGAATGAAACAGAATAGAGTTAAGTGATATTAATCCGAAAATCTTACTTTGTTTACCTCACAGCACAGTTAGGAAATAAACAATTTACACCCATTTTGCTTGTTAAAACCCCAAACAGACAAGGAATTAATATTTTTAGGAATTTCTTTCTATTCGAAGAATCTGGAATTTGCTCCTTTTACATGTATAAGGTGTTCCTGGATTCTTTTCGTAATGAAATAAATGGAGTTTTACGTTCTACTCTTCTGGACCGTATGGACTAATCCCGACGGTGGACGTACATTTGGGCAGTTTACTTTTTTACGTTGATTGTTACTGGGTGTGACCTCCTGATATGGGTTACTGGGAGCCGCGATGGCTCAGCGAGTTAGACGTTTGCTTGCTAACCTGAAAGTCCAGGGTTCAATCCCGGCATGATGATACCTTCGGATTTTCCGACCCGGTTTCCAGTGCAAGTGATGCAGGGAACATGGGCTGATATGGAAAAACATTGGGTCGTTCAGATTCCGTGAAGATCCCTTGGAATCGAATTTCCCTCATTGTACATTGCATGGCGTTGCCCGTCTCCATTAACCCACATGCTGCAAAAACAAAAAAGTAGGACGTAAAACTCCATTCATTTCATTTTGATATGGTAACAGATCGAAGCGCAGTTACTATATTTAAGTTCTGTTGGAGATTCTTTTGGTAGTACAGGTGAAGATCTCCAGAATAATGTTAAACCAAAAGCCTCTACAGGATCATGGTTTGTTCAGAAATTCTGACTAAGGAAAAGTTAGTGATGAAGAAACGTGAGATTGTCTTAGTTTCATATTTATGTCAGCTATAACAATGAGAGTATATTTTGTTAAGTTGTTGGTCATTTTAACACTAAAAAGAAAAGTCGGTGAGTTTGAGGTAGGAGCATTTTGCAAACTAGCAATTGAAAAGTCAATATCATTTACTCAACGATATTACAATAAAGTTGTTTTTAAGGTAGAATAAAAAGTAATTGAAACTGTCGGGTCAGATTTTCGTTGTGCTGATTTATACCTATATATTTGCTTGAGATGTTTGCGATTCGAATTTTTTGTTGTTTACTGTACTTAATCCATTACAAAATCCTCTTCTATAATCATTCCTCGGACGTGATAGCGTCACATTTAGGGCCATATTTGATGGAAGTTATATTTGAGAACTTTCTCCATGACAAAAGCCACATTTGGCTACACTTTTGGTATCGATACGAAGCTGAACGATTTATGAATCCATCAAGACATTTCCGGATATTCTTCAATGTCCCCGTGCCTCACCGGTTAACACAATAATATCAAGGGATGGTATTTCTATTCTTCATAAGTTAGCCTACCCTTTGACTGTATTGTGGTTCTTGGTGAGACACAGAGAATGGCTCTTAATGCGTTCAGATCCTA